TCTCCCTGAGGCGGTTCTGACACATCACAACCATATTTTCTGTCAGCTTTCTTTTCAATAAACTAACACTGGGAAATTTTTAAAGTTAACTAGCAGTGCTAGCCCTCAATAATTCCTTCTTCAGTACTCCATTTTTTCTTTCTTCCTTTCAAAATTGTACCATGAATGTCAGTCTCACCAATGCAGTATACAAAACTAAGATCAGTGTTATGCTCCTCTGTGTTCATATGTATTCAAAGATCCCACAGACGCAGATGATGAGTTTTTCACTATGATTTCCAGTGTCATTGCTTTCCAGGGAATTAAGCGTTGCTTTTGCCCTCTGCACTCAACGCTGTGCTGACTTTGTACACAGGCAGCTGATGGGAGCCAGCCAACAGAAGAGGCCAGGTTGCTCTGCCCTTGTCAGTATTCACCCACAGGCTGCCAGCCGCAGATTTTATCAGCAGCAACTTGATACTTTACCTCAGGATCAATGACTGAAAGAATGGATAACCTCTTTCCTAGTAACTCCAACAAATGGAAATCAGGAGGGATTTCTTAGAGGGATATTTTTTATGATCTATTGTGGGAACACTTGACTCAGTGACCACCTGTGGGAACAATGATATTATTGCTCTGGTTGGCAGAAAGCCATGGGCACAGTGAGGTTCCTGGCGAAGTAATCATGCTGAAAAAACACGGAGCCAAGAATTGTGTAGAGATAAGATAGTTGCTGCTGAGTGGAAAATTTTGGAAAGTTTCTGCCTATAATTGCTGGCTGTTGCATCGGCCACAACTAGCAGATAAAAGGACTCGTTTTGTTCAATAAAGGGTCTTCGTTCACAACCAGCTTCGGAGTCCGTTTTCAATTGCCACAATCTACTACTAAATCACTTCACTAGTTATAAAGTAAGCGTAAAGAATATTTTCAAGAATAATACTGTTAAGATGGAAAGCACCATGGTAAATGTGAAATACACTAAAGCAAGATTAGGCCTTTTCTCATTGCAGGCAGAATGCTGATTAACTTATTCATTACACTAAAGTGGTGAAGTATAAATTATTTATGAGGAAAAGAATTTATTTTCCGTATTTTGGGCTCCAGTCATTACAAATTTGGCTCTGGAGCCACAGCTGTTTGTTTTAGAAACCGAATAGCTGAGAAAACCAGGCCAAGCGGAACACAATTCTGATTTCAGTTGCAAGTATTTGGAAATTTAAAGAAAGCCAGCAGGTAAAAGTATTGGATATTTTTCATTGCTCCAGTGAAAACTCAATCACTAAATAAGCTAAAGCCAAACTAACAAGGCGCCACAATCACTACAATTAAACATATTCCATTATGTGAAAGAAAAGATGAGGACATGGGCTAGGTAGTGCAGAGCTGTCACCCCAAAGGAGGTGAAGAGAGAAGAACTGAGAGGCAGCAATAATTTTTTAATACTACTGATGGACTCTTACTGGATTTAAACAGACTTCAGACGTACTTGTTCTCCAAGTGCTAAAGGTCCGTACTGAAACGTTATGGCAGTAAACAAGAATGAAGAAGAATGGGAAAACAAGAATAGAAAAAAACCCAACTGAAAAACCTGCGGTGGCAAAATGATAATGTTCTATCCAAGATGTAAGTTTGATATCTCAGCAGAATTTCTTGGTGATGTTTTATAACATTTTTTGACTGGACTATGTCAATGTGGAGAAGTATTCATGTGGAAATAATTATCAAACAAATTGGAATCTAAACAGTTTCATTTCATTGTGTATTTCAGACCCCTCAGGGCCTGACTGAGGGAGAGGCTAAGCTAACTTTTTTCTGTTGGCCTTTCATTGACAGCAGTAGGACTATTCAATTCACTGTCACATAGCATTTGGATTGGTGTGCATCCAGAGCTATACCAATTTACTCTAGCTGTTATCTGACCCATTATTTCAATGTCAATTTACAAACTGATTTTATTTTTTACAGGCTTGTCTACAAAACACCCAAGCTCAATCAGCTGCTAGAGTGTATATATAGGGCTGCCATCTAAAAGAAGTATATGCCCACAGCTGAGGTAATTCACATCAATCCTAAATTGTCACTTCTTGGCTATCTAGTTCTGGGTGCTGTCTGCCTTTGTAAGGAATGGATGCATTTTGTGACACTGAAAATGCTGAAATTTTGAAGAAAAAGTAGTTAATGCATCCCTCTGTATATGCTATAGGTATGGGAAGTTTAACAGCACAGATCATCTTATTTTTCAGTGTGTGAAAAAACCTCACTAGGACAATAATATTCTGGCTGAATCCTGAATGTTACCAATTGTTGTCAATACTCAACCAAATGAGTAGAAACTGAGATTGTGCAGAGAACAGTTTGCAAAACAAAGCCACCCTGTGCATCTGATAATAAAACCTGCAGTTAAAACAAGAATATGAGGCCACTAAGGGGACCTGTTTATTCCTCAAGAAAACATCTCCCATTGCTGACATCACCCTAAATCTAACTTCATTCTTAGAAGACCCACCAAGATACCTCTGACCAGTCCACTCCAGTGTAATTTGGATCTGCACATGCCAAACATCCTTTTTGCCTAGCTACTGAATGGAGGCTGCACTGGTGTGATTAACGGAACTCACTGCAGGAACACTGGGCTGTTTACATCGGAGAGCAGCCAGTGTTACCCTGAGACGGGAGCCACTGGTGTGTGTCCGGAAGGCAGTTACTCTCTCCTCTTCCTTCTGGGTCTCTGCTCTTGCATTTTAAGCCAGTCTGGGTAGAACTTTGCAACTTATTTTTGGAAGTACGCCAAAGAACTATTTGTCAAGCCTTTAACTTCAGATTGGTCAGCACAACATTCTGAAAATTCACATGGCATTCAGTCTTTATTCTGTGCCAAGCATGAGCTGCCTACAGAGGAGAACTACACCGCACTTACAGCAACTGCACTTCAACTGTCATGTTCTAGATGGAATCTCAAATGTTTACTAATCAGACAACAAGCCTTCCACCGTTCGGTGTATGAATATCGTAAGTGTGGCCCTCTCTCACCACAGTGAAGAAAATCAAGTGGAAGCTCTGGAGTGAGTTATCATGTGCCAGTGACACACTGCAGCCATTCATCAAGCAAAGACTTTAAAAGTCATGTGCAAAATATCAAAGAACATCAGCAAAGACCTCTAAGAACAAAAGAGTAAGAATACAGAAGATATTTTACAGCCTTGCCATATAATAAACATACGCTCAGCTAGCGTATATTCAGCTACATTGTGTGAAGAAACATTCTGTACTCCATCAGTTACTAGCATTGGGTAAATCAAGTCTAGAATGATGAGCTCAGAATGCGTAAGTATACATGTATGGAATTCAAACAGAACGTACTCATTGCAAATGAAGTTGCAATCAAACATTGAATTAACATACTCAATGCAAATAAACTTTTTAAAAAACAAGATGGACTTTTAAGCAGAAGAAAGAATTCTCTTCTTTCTGACATCCACCATTATTTAACAGTACAGAGACGATGACATACAGCAAGTATGCTCAAACTGGCATAACGGTAGATTTAAAACAGTACAGCACAGGCCCTCAGAAGGAGTATCTGTTATACTGCAGCAGATCCCCGATCCTGGCTCCTGCGATGTTCCAGTCTCAGCAGGAACTTGGTCTTGTGTAGACAAAAGGTGTTCGTGACCACTTAGGTCTTGTCCCACTGAGCGTCGGTATTGCCCAGTGTATACTGACTTTTGCGTAGGGCCAGACTTCACCTTTGGCTATTGCTAGACTCTTCTCTGACGTCTGTTCCCCAGTTCGCAGCCTGAGCAGACAAGTTACCAGAACCCCCGCAGCCTGGCACTGACAGTCCTGCCGCTGCCATCTCACCCCGGCCCTGGGCAGGTGACGAGCTCCGCTCCGCTCCGCTCAGCCACAGCCTGGCCGCCCAGTGCAGTCAGCGCTTCGCTTGGTAGCAGAGCGCATTATTTTCCTCTTCCAAAGCCGGGGGACAGGGAGGTGGCAGCGGGGTCGGAGACCAGCGTGGGAGCAGCCACGGCTCTGCCCACGCGCGAGGCGCGGGTGCCCCCGAGCGGCCCCTCCGGAGGAGCTCGCGGCGGTCACTGGGGAGCGACACAGGTCCACCGGCACAGGCACGACTTTCTACGCTCCGATCCAAGTGACGGTTTTTAGAGCATTCTTCTAAGGAGGAGTATGCAGATTTATGGTGAGCAAATTCATTTTTCACAGCTGTCGAGTCACAACAGTATCTAATTGCTCATTCAGTTTCTGCTTACGCTGCTCCTCCACTTCATCATCTATGAGACACCTCAAATAGAAGCTGGCAAAAATTAAACGTTCTCACTTCAAAGCCTCTTTCCTGATCCTCTCTATTCATCAACTTTATTTTCGCAGCTATTTGTAGACCTGGCTGATGTTGCAGTTCCAGATAGAACAATTTAAAATGTATCATCTTAAGAGACTTATGTTGGCAAATTATTGCATTACACTTACTTACATTTCAGAAGGACCCAAAGATCCACCTAATTAAAAATTACCAGTAATATGGGCAAAGCTCGAAAACAGTAGTTGTCATGGATCAGAATAGTGACTCTTTTTAATTACAGTAAATGTGAAAAGAAGAGAGAATTATTGATGAAAGATACAACTGCCTTTTTTGTTTGAAGAATTCAACCTCTCATGAATTACTGAGTGAATATTTGCAACACAGGTCAGAGATTTCAAACCACTCTCTAGCAAAGAAGTACCGAGAGGAATACCACCAACAGTTTCATGTAGTCTCAACATCTTCATATTGGCCAGCTACTTGCTCAGGGAAAATAAGGATATGCTCAGTAGTATGTCAAATCCCATTTTCCACAGACTTTTTTCCCCCTTCTGCATTTCTAGTTAACATACTTGTTAATCACACTTCTTTTTTGAAAATCTGAGCAAGTTTGCACAACTGTGCAAATTATGGATTATTAAAAACTGGAATAAGTGACACCCTATTACAGTGCACTGAGAGAGAGAAGAGCCTTAGAACCACAAGTCCACAAAATTTTTTATTAAAATAACACCAAGTTTAAGAAATCGATGCAGTGTAAAGAAACTTCAACTCATCATACAAAAAAAAAAAAAAAAAAAGATTTTCCATCCTTAAGTATGTAAACTGCATTCAAATCCTGACATGATTGACATAATACAGAAGCAACACAGTATCCCAGACGAATATCGAAGTTAAAGACTGGCATGCTGGGCAAGGAAGGTTCTGATTCTTTGCAAGAGTTCCTTCTTTACACTGTCAGGTACCAAGGCTGAAACACAAATAAGAAAGCAACAAGTAAAAAAGACAAGATGGAAGATACACTAATACCAACCTTTTACAACAGCTACTTCTATTCTTTGTTTGTTATTGCAATTCTCTTAACACCTAAAGTAACTGAAGCTACTTGATTTTCATGTAGCACATCTATGTTTTCCCCATTTAAAATAAGCTAAAATTGAAGTCTATTGAGAACACTGTTGTTATTGGTAGCTTTTTGCCTAGCTATAGTCAAGAAAATTGGAAGGTTTGAGGGAAAGGATTATTCAACAGTAAACAGGATATAACCACCAGGAACTAGTTTGATTATCCTACCTTTTTTCTTCACAAATTTGAGACAAAAAAACCCCAACAAACTCAGCCATGACCTCAGAGTAAGAGGCTTCAGCAAGTTATTTTGAAGGGCTATTTTTCTTTAAGACTTAATGAAGTTTTTCCCATTAACAAAGCCTATTAGAGAGTCCAAGAACTATATAAAGAAGACTGCACTATTTCCTTAAGAGATTCCATTTTTCTGTATGTGTATGCTACGTCCTTTCCTCTTCCCACTTCCCATTACACTAGTATTGTTAGTTCAGGTTTTCCATCTTAAAAAGTACTGGAATTTTAAAACATCTCTGCTGCATAACCCAAGTTTTCTTGGGACCATTAAGTCAATTATAAAGATGAATACAGGCTCATTACAGATTTTGAATGCCTGTTACACAATACAAATTCATGTTTTATTTGTAGTTAATATCAAGCTATTAACTTTTTTCCTTCATATATGCAGTTCATAATGCTTCTTTAAAAATATTAATGAAATAGAGGTAGGTATGTTTATTGATGTACTACCACATCCATGTTTGCATTTTCTTACCTCTGCCTTTAGGAGTGATTTCTGCCACCAAATCATCAACAGTAACGTGCTCTAATCCTTTTTCTTTAATGACATCTGGGGAAGACCAAGACCAATATTTTAAGTCTTTTAATCCATCCATTAGAAGACAAAGCCTGTGCCAATGATTAAGAGACAAAACCTGCATGCATAGGTCATCAGAGAATACAAAGTAGCATGTGACCTAAATGTAGGTTATTAATTCAGTACCTACTGCATTGTACAGTGGATTTAGTCTCTCATGCAAACCATAGGTTTAAGGATGCATCACTACTGATGCATCTTGATCAACTCCTATTTTAAAATCAAACGTTACAAAGTTTAAGCTTATCTGAGCATTACCAGATGTGCATATTACTTGAGTGTTGTAGCAGTTCAGAAGTTGGTCCACTTACCTCTCCAGACACATTATTTACACAATAGTGAGAAAGAGATGCAATTGGAAAAAGACTTTGGAACACACAACAAGGGAGAGCAGAGAGACAGTAAATATTACAACTCTTCCTAACTGGTTTAAACAACATCTCTCTATATATTTCAGCAAAGTAAAAAAGAATATCTGAAAGAAAGGTATACATCTACAGCAAAATAAAAGCTATGATTATGATATACTGTACAATTAATACATAGCAGTATTTAAACAACTGTCTATTTATAGTGCCTTGAAGACTATTGAAAAATGCAGAAGTCAATGCTGAGAAGAAACCTCAATTTAGTAGCATAAACCTTTTGTCTAAACATGAATGTTTTTAACTGTATGTCAGTACATAGGATTGATTGTCCCTGAGACACTAAATATGTTTTCTGAACTGACGTCACATGAACTATTTGTAAACTGTTTTTCTTGGCTGAATTCCCTGTAGAAATTAATCCTGGATTGCTCAATTATTGGCCCTAATCCACAATGGCAAGAGGCTCTAGAACAAGCTAGCAAAAAAACTGCACCAAAACCCACGCCTCAAAAGCCCCACCCCAACAAAACAAAAAACAAACAAAAAAACCCACCAAACCCCCCCAAATCCCTCTCTGTCCTTTCTTTTGGAGGTTATTAGGCCCTTAACAGGGACAAATGAACTTGTATGTGCATTCTTAGCAGCTGCAGTTACAGTTCAAAGTACTAATGTAAACCAAATAATTTTACGTAACTTTACAATAGCAGAGTATACAGTGTGTAGTTAAGAAGGCAGATCAACATCCCTTTCACTATCTGTACTACTGAAATGGGTAATCTCTGGCAGTGGCATCAGGCAGACAACTGCAAGCATGAATCATTTCAGCCTTCTCTGCAAATCCACCTATGAAAACAATTTAACACACTCAGCTCTACAAAAAGAAAAACTTTGTAATGGAATATTGAGTTGCCGGGCACAATAGACCAAATCAGAATTAAAGTGAAAGCTCAAGGGATTTGTTATTTGCTTTAAGGAAATTTCATGATGCGGTAATATTCCTGGATGCTTAAATACTATTTATAACAGTTTCATACAATTTACAAGTCAGTAAATTGTAGTAATGCTAAATACTTAAAACTAAAAACTTGGGTATTTAGAAGTTCATCTGCTTGTTTTCTCTCATCTAAGTAGATGATCTTATTTTCTAGAACTGTATTTAGAAAGAGTACAAACGCACTTCTTTCTCTCCCATATGCGGACAACAAAGTTCTCTTAAGTTTCTAAGTTGCTATATCTGCTCCATTTTCCTTTATCTTGGTTTTTAATCTCCTGTGGTAAGGACGTCATCCCTCTCAAAACAGAAAGCTGTATCATTGCGAATATTTAGGGAATCAATTCCAATACTTTTCTCAGAAGTTTAATAGGGTTCAGATCAGAGAAGTTTCAAGATTTTTTGCCAAGATGCTTTCTTGCAAAACCAATTGCCAGGGGTACTTTCTTGCCCAACTCTCGTTTAAATTGACTGTTAGGCAGTAAAGCCTTCATCTGGTATTTTTACTTGGCCAGAAACTCAGTTGATTACGAAGAGTATTAGTTGTTTGACCACCGTTACCTTTGCAATGTGCCTTCAACTGATCCTTCCAGCCGCATTCAATTAATTTGGCTCTCAGCAACTCTTTAAGGCTGTTAAGACAATATACAAACTTGTTAGGAACAGCAAACATTCCTGACAGCTTAAATATGCTTCAGTGTGAAAGTTAAGCCTACAACTACCACTCATAGCAGAACTCCCAGACCAGCAGCAGAAATAGCTGAACAGCATGTGAATCCTAACCCAAATGAGCACCGATTTCAGTTTACTATGTTGGGACTATGAGGAGTTGGTGGCTCAGGAGCTAATTCACAGTATTTCTTCAGGCAGCATTGATGCTGCAGCCACAGAAAAGAGGTAGAAGCCCTTGAATCACTTGAACTGCCCGAGTCTACTCTGTTAGCAAATGTATGCTAACTTTCAAAGTTAGAATATTTCAGCTGAAACCAGGCCTTTAACATAAATAGAACCTTCCCCCCTCCTTTCTGAAAGGAGAATTCTGTACTACTGTCTTCAACTGCAGGTTTCTCTCCCCAGTTACACTTTACCTCATGTTGGGTGAAGACAAAGGGATCATGTATCTTGTCTTCCTAAGCGTGGTTAGCAATTATAAGCATAAGCAACAAGGATTCAGGCATTAAACAGAGAAGACACACAATCTGCCACAATGATACACCTACTCCACGTATCAAAAGAGAACATTGAAAGCTAGGTAAAAAAGTGAAAATTAGCACTGAAAAATGGAAGAAGGGAAAGTGAAAGTAATATATGATAAAACAAGCTTTAATATCTTTATTCCATCAGCTAGCAAGCCTACTTGTCTTGTACCATCCTAAATAATTCTAGAAAAATTCTGGTTTTATGAATGAAAGGATTGCAGTAAGAGGCTAAACTGTGTAGGTCTAATCCCTTTTACTCAGTGAATTGTGTAGAAGGCAGATGAACGGATGACAAAAAGCAGAGTAACAATACAGGTGAAATTCACTGCTTCTGGATATTCTTAATTCAAGACATCAGAGTGCTCTGTCTCTGATCATAGTACAGCTCTGATAAAGCTTGTTTATAATACGGCTTTGGACATCCTGTCAAAGCTCTTCTTAAATTACAATAAAATAGGTCCCAATACCATTTCAAGAAATTGCTTGCTCTGCTGAAGCTCTGTGCAATCTCCGAGGGGACGTCACAGCCAGGAAAGAAGTAGAGCACAGACACCATGTCAGTCTACAAAAGGTTACACGAGGCCCAGGGCTATGCGATGACCTAGGAAGAAGACTCCTTCCTTCTCATACAGGCCTTGAAAGATGAAGGAAATAGAGCTTTTGGTGCACGGTGTGACCAATACAGTGAAACGACAAGGATGGAAATATCATAAGCACATTAGTGATATGTAAATACATATCACTATGTGCAAATAGAACAGACTGAAGAGACAATAAAAGGCCAAAAACTAGCTGCCACACTACACTGCATAATTTACTTGTTTGCCTTTACTGGAATCTCTGCAATGACTTGCACAATAGCTGTTTATGTGTTCCAGTGTATATTTCTTTCCTTAACTAGAGAAGGGATAGGAACACAAGAAAAACTTGAAAGCAAAAAGGAAAGTTTTGTCTCCTTCTTTCTCAGGAAATATCAAGATTTAACTGCAACAAATTGCATTAATGGTGATTTTTGTATAAACCAAGAGCTTTCCAACACAAAATACCAGAGTAAGAAAAAGCATTAGAGTCCATAAGCCAAGTACCCCATCCTTTATTTTCCCATCTTCTCAAGTGTAAAACTAAAACAAAACAGGTCAAAAGGCAAATGTAAGAGTGTTTTTTTTTAATTTTATATATAGCTTTATATAAGACTTTCACACGCAGGCATTTCAAAAATTTAGAGTTAAGTTTCCTTAATCTTTACATCTAGGTATAGTTCACGTCTGAGAATACACGAAGCCTCTTACTGGCAGAAGAGCAGGAAACCCACTTACTTACCGTTCTCGCTCTCCTGTTTCTATTAGCTTTTGGTTAATGGTTGCTCTCATCTGGGCATCTTTATTCATTTTGGCAATCTAGGTTTTTCACAGACCTGCGCGGGGCAGAACAGAGTTTTGACACGCGTTGGTGTCGCGATCGCGACAAAAAGAAGAGCCGCTTACACAGAACTACGCGCAGCGCCGTGACCATTTACGCACCCCCGCAGCTAACGACGGCAGCACCGGTGCGCGACGGGCTCGGGGGAGGAGCACGCACGCACGCACGGACGGCAGCACCGGAACGGCGTCTCGCCCGAGCCCCGGGGGGACCGGTCCCTCAACGGGCCGCTTGCGCGGGCGCGGCCC